TACTGAAACCCTGAACACATCACTGCTTTACTGAGACCCTGAACACATAACCACTTTACTGAGACCCTGCACACATCACTGCTTTACTGAAACCCTGAACACATAACCACTTTACTGAGACCCTGAACACATCACTGCTTTACTGAAACCATGAACACATAACCACTTTACTGAGACCCTGAACACATCACTGCTTTACTGAAACCCTGAACACATCACCCCTTGACTGAGACCCTGAACACATCACCACTAACAAAACCCTGTACACATCACTGAGACCCTGAACACATCACCGCTTTACAGAAACCCTGAACATATCACCGCTAAAGAAACCCTGAACACATCACTGCTTTACTGAAACCATGAACACATAACCACTTTACTGAGACCCTGAACACTTCACCGCTTTACTGAGACCAGGGTTCCTACACATTTGGAATTTCAAAATTCCATACTTTTCCTAGACTCACAAGTCAGTCTTTAGACGCTTTGCTTAAGTAAAGACTGATGACTTTCTCCCTGATTTTGTGTTTAGATGGGCGGATACAATTTCAGATTTTAAACAACTCCCTACGTTGCAGAACCAATAGTAAATCCGCAGGGCGGTCCTTCGGTGGCTCGCTGAACTCTTGTGCTTCTAAACATAGTCCCACTAGAAACACGTGTAGCGGTACAAAATGGCTCAGCCATGCTCGCAGAAAACGCCGTCAAAGTTAGTGGATGTTTGTCGCGTTTGTGGCGACACATTCTCGCCAACTAAAAGAAACAAACATAATCTTTTACAAGGCCATGACTCATCCGTCCGATCGGACTATAGAGAGATTCGCCTTGTTGTTTACAAATACTTCCGGGTAGAAAACCAGCAGAGCTTTTAGCTATATATATAGCTATAAGCTCTGCTGGTTTATATATATATCACATTTTTCACATCACTGTATCACTGTTTAGACTAATCCGATGTTTGTAAAGTCTTTAAACACAATGATTGAACAAACATTACTATTTCTGTGTGCACGTTTAGCTGGGCTAACCATTAGCTGTTAGCCCTGTTAGCCGTTAGCGGTGTCTGTAATAGGTAATAACTCATTAAACGGTCCGAAAAAAATATTTTTTCCAGCAGATATCTTAGCTACAACATGACTGAGCTAGCAAAGCAGTTTTGTGTTGCTATGTGTGGTATTTATTCAGTTTTGGGAAATCACAATGTCTAGAAAGCATCAGTGGCTGCAGCTGACAGGGACAGCTAACAGCAGCAGCAAAGCTAACATCAGGACGTCATCTGTTAAAAGCCTGTGGTGGCAAAATTACTATTCAATAAACAATTCAAAGAAAAGTCTTCACACGTCGGTTGTCTTTCTTGAGTTTTAATAAGCATTCATGAATGGAGTCTCACAAACAGTACAAACCGCATGAACAGTCCGTCAAAGTGAGAACTGGCGAGTGTCCTCCAGCCCTCTATCTTTATAGTTACCCAAACACATGATCATCCATAGTCATAACACATGGCGCCAGAGAACCTGTTGTCCTAAGCCATATCATCTCCTGACACAATAACAGGGTCATAACTCTGAAGGCCTCTCTGAAGGTTCACCTTCGGCCTGTTTTGCAACCAGGCCTCCGCCATATATCTGATGTTATCAAGTGAGGGATTACAGAGCATGGAATGATTTGTAAGCTTCAATAAAGTAAGTCTTGCAGGACACCCTAAGGGGTGAAAAGAGGGTCAGACGCCCATAACTTGTCAGGTACCCATAATTTTCCATCACAAGCCTCCCGTTGCCGGATACGACATGAAACTACTCCAGTTAGCTCAATCATGTTGTAACTAAGACATCCGCTGAAAAAAATGTTTTCTTCACGGATGAGCACACATTTGAGAAAACGGAGTTTAATCTCTCGGCATCCATTTTCAAGCTCTCTGTGTGTTTGTTTCCTTGCGGACGAGAAAAGGGGGAGCGCACATTTCCGAGAAGACGTGTTCTTTTCAAAAATGCAAGAAGCGTTGCAGTGTGTTAAACACACTTTAGAAAGGAGTGTCCCCAGACTATCAGAAGGCGGAGATCTCTGATTGTCTGGTGTCGAGACTATACTTTTCCATACCCTAATTTCCAGACTTCTCTGCATTTTTTTCTTTTTTTTAGAGAATATGCGACATCTGAGTAAATATATCAGTGTATCATATTTCACATCATATTTAATTATTCTTAATAGGCGATTGTAGCCAAGTACCATAATGGCATGCAAATAAAAACTCAGGTAAGTTCAATGTCTGGGCTGAGGCAAAAAGGTTGGGACTCTGGGTGCAAGCAATGCAGTAACGAGACGTAGGTGTTTTTTCCTTTCATGTGGCTCAGAATCACCTTCTCCCCCATGTTGGCGATGCAGGGTTCAACGCTAAGGTTTTTTTTTTTTTCACTTGCCCGGTCAGGCAAGTTGGTCAGAGATATATTTGCCCGAAGTCAGTTTTTACTTGGCCTATAAAAATTGTTTAATTTAAGCGGCTATCAATTAACAAAGACTGCAGTTATTTTTTTTATGTTATATAATCTTTATTCACACTGTATTTATTAATTAAAACAACATATATCATGTATTGTAGCTTAATTCCTACACAAATATGACAGTGTCAGGGCTTAAAGTGAAAAATTTTCCTGAGCCTGAAACCTGAAACCTGGGGGGGGGACAGTGGCAATCTTTGTCAACCATTCTCCGTCTATAATTTTGCGCCCTACTTCAGCCATGCCCACCTCTATTTATTTTTCACCCCTCTCTCCAGTTCTGCTGTATTAACACTGGGTTTAATATATTTTGCTTCCATCTCTCTGCCCTGCTCTACTCTACTTCAACGCTACTTAGCTCTCTCTCTATTCTACCAGTAGACTACCACATCGACCTGTTGCACAAAACGCACACAGCAGTGTTTCCCCTAGGATGGAGTTGTAGCAGTGGAGGTGAAGCACACGCATGAAAAATAATTTTCACATGCGTGAAACTTTTTTGTATGCTTGCAAAGCACAGCCTGCTGGGATGTTTCTATGTATCTACTGGCACCAGAAGGGCTCTTTAGGACTAAGTACATACAGTACATGTGTGCACAGTAATGAGCAGGTGAAATGTCTGCCTGGCTTACATATGAGGTGTCTCAAGATTTAGGAAAATAAAATTGTATTGAATATAATAAAAGTAAAAAGTCACTTGACATTCTGCTGTTTTGTGCTATGACCGATTTAAGTGCCGGAAGTTGTTATTTACGTGACAACGCCTGAACGCAACACAAGCTCTGCACGAGTGTCGTGCTGAGACAGAAATGACACAATGACATAACACCATAAATAGTATATTGTTATGTTATTATATGAAGCGTCCGTCGCACAAAATAATAAGACTTTAGTTCATGAAGAGGTAAGACAGAGCTCTCTCCTCTCCTCTACGTAGTGCAGCATGTGGCGGACTGGACATACCACTTGTTAATCAGGTAAAAGGGGCAGTATGTTTTCTGAGACGTCTGCTCTCACACAAACTGTGCCTGGCCCGGCATAAAACACGATCCGGATTGATTAAATTATTTTTGGAAATACCTAATTTTCTATTTTAGAAAACAGTATTTAAGAACAGTGGTAATAGTCTGGAAACATAAATATTTTTCCATACTTTATTTTTCATTTTCCATACTTTTTAATACCTGGAAATTGATCAAATTTATTTCCATACTTTTCAATACTTTCCATACTTGCGTAGGAACCCTGTGAGACCCTGAACACATCACCGCTTTACAGAAACCCTGAACACATCACTAATCTACTGAAAACCTGAAAACATCAATGCTTTACTGAGTCCCTGAACACATCACTAAGACCATGAACACATCACTGTGACCCTGAACGCATCACTGAGACCCGGAACACATCACTGTGACCCTGAACACATAACTGAGACCCGGAACATATCACTGAGACCCTGAACACATCACTGAGTCCTTGAACACATCACTGCTTTACTGAGACCCGAAACACTTCACGAAGACCCTGAACACAGGGTCAACACCTGTCCTGTCTGAGTCGTACCAAATGATGGCGTCATGATGACATCATGATGATGTTGTGAAGTCTCACCTGGACCTCCACCAGGAAGCCGTCGTTGAAGGTTCCTCTCAGGATGAAGTTACGAGACGTCCCGACTAGGAACTCCTCCCCCTTCCCCTCAGACACCGCTCTGATGGTTCCGTACTGATCCGGGACCTGTGAACACACCATCAGCCATGTGACCTGGGTAATGTGTGTGTGTATCACAGTGTGTATCTGTATGTGTGTGTGTGTGTGTGTGTGTGTGTGTGTGTGTGTGTGTGCGCGCAGTACCTCGATGTCCCTCTCCGCTCGCAGCTCATGGTCCCACAGGATGATTTTTCGGTCTTTTCCTCCTCCAGTCAGCAAAGTGCCACTCCTCATCTCACATAGACAGAACACGCTGCCCTCGTGACCTTTGACCTGCCGACAGATCTGGAACGCTGCGCGCACACACGCACGCACGCACGCACACACGCGCGCGCACACACACACACACACACACACACACACACACACACACACGTGAGTCTTGCCTGCTGAACTGAAATATTACAAAAAAGTTGACAGAATGAATAAAAACGACCTTCATCAACGTTAAATTCTGTGTGTTCATACATGTCATTATAAACTCTGTGTGTACATACGTGTCATAAACCCTGCGTGTGTTCATACGTGTCATTATAAACTGTGTGTTCATACGTGTCATTATAAACTGTGTTCATGCGTGTCATTATAAACTGTGTTCATACATCTCATTATAAACTATGTGTGTTCATACATGTCATTATAAACTCTGTGTGTTCATACGTGTCTTTATAAACTCTGTGTTCATACATGTCATGATAAACTCTGTGTGTTCATACATGTCATTATAAACTGTGTGTTCATACTTGTCATTATAAACTCTGTGTGTTCATACGTGTCATTATAAACTGTGTTCATGCGTGTGATTATAAACTGTGTTCATACGTCTCATTATAAACTGTGTTCATACATGTCATTATAAACTCTGTGTGTATATATGTGTCATAAACCCTGCGTGTGTTCATACGTGTCATTATAAACTGTGTGTGTTCATACGTGTCATTATAAACTGTTCATGCGTGTCATTATAAACTGTGTTCATACGTCTCATTATAAACTATGTGTGTTCATACATGTCATTATAAACTCTGTGTGTACATACGTGTCATAAACCCTGCGTGTTCATACGTGTCATTATAAACTCTGTGTGTTCATACGTGTCATTAGAAATTCTGTGTGTTCATACATGTCATTATAAAGTCTTTGTGTTCATACATGTCATGATAAACTCTGTGTGTGTACATACGTGTCATTATAAACTCTGTGTGTTCATACGTGTCATTATAAACTCTGTGTGTGTTCATACGTGTCATTATAAACTGTGTGTTCATACGTGTCATTATAAACTATGTTCATACGTGTCATGATAAACTCTGTGTGTGTACATACGTGTCATTATAAACTCTGTGTGTTCATACGTGTCATTAGAAATTCTGTGTGTTCATACGTGTCATAAACTGTGTGTTCATACGTGTCATTATAAACTATGTTCATACGTGTCATGATAAACTCTGTGTGTGTACATACGTGTCATTATAAACTGTGTGTGTTCATACGTGTCATTATAAACTCTGTGGGTGTTCATACGTGTCATTATAAAATCTGTGTGTTCATACGTGTCATTATAAACTGTGTACATACATGTCATTATAAACTGTGTGTACATACGTCATAAACTCTGTTCATACATGTCATTATAAACTATCTGTGTTCATACATGTCATTAAAAACTGTGTATTCATAGGTATCATTATAAACTATGTGTGTTCATACGTGTCATTATAAACTGTGTTCATACATGTCATTATAAACTCTGTGTGTACATACGTGTCATTATAAACTCTGTGTGTGTACATATGTGTCATTATAAACTCTGTGTGTTCATACGTGTCATGATAAACTCTGTGTTCATACGTGTCATAAAATCTGTGTGTACATACAGTACAGGCCAAAAGTTTGGACACACCTTCTCATTCAATGCGTTTTCTTTATTTTCATGACTATTTACATTGTAGATTCTCACTGAAGGCATCAAAACTATGAATGAACACATGTGGAGTTATGTACTTAACAAAAAAAGGTGAAATAACTGAAAACATGTTTTATATTCTAGTTTCTTCAAAATAGCCACCCTTTGCTCTGATTACTGCTTTGCACACTCTTGGCATTCTCTCCATGAGCTTCAAGAGGTAGTCACCTGAAATGGTTT